TGGAAGGTAACAAGCACCAGGTAACAATGCTATGCAGATGCAGATCCGCTCACACGCAAAGCACAGCAGAACAGCTGTTATTTCAAAAACTGTTTACATGATGAAGCAGAAGAAAGGAAAGGATGTAGTCGCGGGAACATCAGAGACCAACTCATTGAGAGGTGATGGCTGAACTACAGCTCTTGAAAGTGCATGAGCAGTGCCAGAAGACTCCTATAACTGGGACTAGCAGCTATGTCATGGCTGTCAGGTAATCTTAATACCCAGCTGTGGGTGGGAAAGAGCAAGCATGAGCTACTGAGAATCACAGAATCATCGAATGTTGTGAGTTGGAAGGACCCACAAGTATCATGGAGTCCAACTCCTGTCCCTGCACAGGACAATCCCAACATGTCCCTGAGGGCCTTGGCCAAATGCTGCTGCAATCTTGTCAGGCTTGGTGCCATGAGCACCTCCCTGGGGAGCCTGTTCCAGTGCTCCACCACCCTCTGCCTCAAGAACCTTTTCCTCATGGCCAACCTCACCCTCCCCTGCCACATCTTCCTGCCATGTCCTCTGGTCCTGGCATTCGGTGGTGGCCAGAGAGAAGAGATCAGCGCCTGCCCCTCCTCTGCCCCTTGGCAGGAAGTTCTAGACCCCCATGAGATCTCCTCTCAGTCTCCTCTTCTCCAGGCTGAACAAACCAAGTGACTTCAGCCTCTCCTCACATAGCTTCTCTAAGCCCTTCATCATTTTTGTGGCCCTAAGTGAGAGTGGCTATCGCCAACTGCCCCATAGCCCAAGTGAACACCCAGCCCCAACACATGACAGAATCAATGGTCCCCAAGGAGCTGCTGTTGGCAACTCTTCAAGTCACCCCTGGAATTCCCTCTCCCTCAGGCACTCAGAGCATGCGGTATGTGTCTCCTGAATCGCAGGAGTATAAGATTTCCAGTACCTAAGTTTGGCTGGCCCACCATAATACTCCACACACCAGTGAGACCAGTCTGACAGTGGAAGGCAAATGTCCTGTCCAGGCCAGCCTGCAAAGGTACCACAATTACCTTTTGGAACAAAGTTCTCCCCATGTCTGCACACTGTACTGTTTATCACAGGTATTTTGCAGCGACCCTGTTAAAGATTCAACCATTACCAGAGGAATGTCTCTGCACCGTCCGCGTAGGCACCATGGCATTTGGTTTCTCGGTGGGATATGCAGTTGTTGCTAACGCAGTACCCTCTGTGTTGCTGTCTGCTGGTGTGATGACTCCAAAGCCAGAACTTGGGTAACACGTCTGGTACTGACTCTGGCCAAGGATTGTGTACGTAGGATATTCCTGTTAGAGGAATGGATTAGTTATGATAGGGTACTTCTTTCAGAAAACATATTGAGGTGAATTTTACGCTACAATACACCTGTTAAAGGGAAATCCCAGCAAGAGGAGAGTCTGACTTTATGCTATTGCTTTCTGCATATGCAACACATCCCCAAAGAGAGTTGAGAGACCCGACTTCCCAATGGTCCCCCACACAGACGGGATCTGCAGACAGGAGACCAGCAATCACAGGGCCACTCCTCTGCCTACAGTTTCTTCAAAAATGAATTCATTATGAATGCCGTGACAGTAACAGAGGAGTATCGAGTGGGTGCCAAGGCATCGGTCCACTCTGCCTGTGCTCTGGAATCTGTGGTTTGTCTTGAGTTTTACTTTCAGATACCAGATGTACCAACTGTGACAGAAAGTGATCTTGGCACTGGCTGAGGGTGCAATCCCAGCCCCAGAGCAACAGGATAAACTGCCTTTCCTCAGGAAACTGACTTCAGCAAGCAATTATTTTGCATGCTGTGATGAAAGGTATCCATTTATGAAAATTATTTACTCATTTAGGAGGAGATCACTGAGCACCCAAAGCTGTGTTTGAGGATTTTAATTTCTGCTACTGATAGTAAAGAAAGCAGCAACCAATGTCACATCACACTCTTCTGGCACACTGTGCACTCCCGATTCTCTCAAATAGCAACCTGGATTTGTGAACCAGGTACCTTGGTCTGCACTGCTGAAGGGAAATCCTTTTTTTTCCCCCCTTACAGCTCCAAGCAAAATTATGTTAATGAAAGAAACTTAAAAAGCAACAGCAGAAGCACACAAGGACTCGTTGATCCTTGTGGGTCCCTTCCAGCTCACAACATTCTATGGTTTTTGTGCATCCACTGCATTTTCCACACTTCCTATATTCTCTTTCTGCAAAGTTATGACATTGAAGGGTTCCCTTGTATATCTCAATATTCAGAATGGCAGTTAACTGCTGCCAGTGCTATATATTCCCCACAGCAGGTCACAGTCGGGAGGAAGGGCTCTGTGCTAGCTGCAGGGCTTTTTGGCTTTTATTCCAGCACCATCAGAATGCATCTCCTACTTTACAGGGGGTTTTTGTTTAGTTTTGCTTGTGTATAAACTATTTTCCTTTTCTTGCTGAGGGAGAACAAAGGCATTCAAAAATATCCACCTCTAATCCTCTCTGTAAATTTGGTTCTCAAAATAGTTCTGCTGTTTCTTCTCCACTGTCTCTCTTTCAGAGATCTCAGTATCCTGGTTTAAGGTCCACCACACAATCCTCAGATGAGGAAACAGGTAAGCTCTGAACAGATGAAGTGAGTTTGTTGCAAAGGCCAAAGGTTGGCCAAAGCGTCATGGTCAAAGTGTCATGGTCAAAGAGACAGCAAGAATATGAGTTACGTACCAAGCCCTATAACTCTAGTACCCATTGTGCTCCATTTGAAGTGATGCAAATATTTCACCTTCCTTTGTTAGTTTTGAGTAACCTGTTAAACAAAGGTGAAGGAGATACTGGACATAAATATAACAAGGAAGAAGTTTTACCTGTGAGATGCTGGCTACTGCTGATGTGGAAATATTGACAACAGTTGAGCACGTAGAGACTGGACTGGCATTGGTAGTTGATGCTGTAAAATTAAAAATTACTGCATTAAATGCTTCTAGAAAAGTACAAGAGACGAGACCCATCCAAGCTGTGAAGTACGTATTTACTAGGCTTAGGTGCCAGCATTTGTGCTTCCAGCAGCACTCTGCTTGTAACAGCCAAAAAAGAGTTGGGGTGTATTTTGAAACCAGTTACATTTCAACTGCACTTACAATGAAGGAGAGCAAGCATATCTTTAAAAACAGAACTTTCAAATGTTTCAGAAACTGCTTCCCTCCATGCCTGCTAAGTAATTGGAGTATAATTAAAATGGTTTCACATCTTTACTAAAAGTTTTGAGAAGACAACAATCCCATTCTGACGTTCAATTAACAGCAGTTGAAAAATAATCAGAATAAATCAGTAAAATGGATATGAAAGTGTTTAAATCAGCTCTGATAAAAAAAACCCCAACTTCTCTCTGCATTGCATGTAGCACATTTAGCCTAATTAGATTTTTTTTTTTTTAAAAGGAAACTAAAAATATTTCAAGTAGCATAAAAAGAGTGCTTCCTACTGGAGAAAGTGAACATATCTCCCTATATCCCTGTGAGACTACAACTGTTTTTTGGATGAGACTTTCTGAAATAATTTGTCAACATCTTGTAGGACAAGTTATTAGAGACATGTAGTTGTTAGTATGAATTTGAAGACGTTTAATAGCCTTTGTGTCACTGCATTCGATTCTTCCAAAACACAGATGAGGCTGCTAGAGCACCATCTGGGAACACCAGGCATTGAGCAGATTTTGTGGTTTTACAGTCACAAGGCCACTCCATTAAACATTGCTCCTCATGGGGCTTGGGGACCCTCAAGGATTAGTGTAAACAAATGATGAAATCAGCATGAACAAAATCAGGATATACTAAGCCAGGTGCCACCAAGAAATATTTTCTTTTGCTAAACCTTCCTTCTCTGCACACAAATAAAACCAAAAATCACTTTTAGATGCTTATCAAGACTTGTAGAAATCCGCAGTACAGCCTACTTTACCATCACTCTGAGAAAGGCCCCCATTTTCTGCAAATAACACCCATGTGGATCACCCCAAGACTGAAGAACTCAAGCTTCTGAAGGCTTCAGTCTTTGTACCTGTATTGGGTTTGCGTGGACAGGTTGTGGTGGCGAGGGTGCAGAGGGGTGGCTTCTGTGAGAAGCTGCCA